ATATCTCATAGTTGTTTTGATTTGCATCTCTCTTAGCTTGCTAAAGATTATTTTAAAATGGCTATCATAGTATATTGACAGAGAAGTGCCATAATTTCAAGCTGGATTTAGAAGAGGCCATGGCATGAAGGATGTCATTGCTCATGTCGGATGAACCTTGAGTAGAGAATAAAAAAAGGAGGTCTATTTGTGTTTTGTTGCCTATGCAAGGACATTTGAGTATGTGGATCAAAACAAATTATTACCAACATTGAGAATTAATTACAATGAATTTAATTCTTGATTAGGGTTTTTGCATTAAAGACAAGAGGTCTGAGAACCCATCTCTTAAAAATTCTAGAATGGGAATCCCAGAACACTTGATTGTGTAATATCATATGCAAGTTAAATCTTGCTAAAGATTATTATTTTTTTTTATAAAAAGATATGTGTACTTGGGAAAATCTGCTGTCTGTTAAGAAGCAGTAATCAGAACAGAGCAGGGGAAAACTGCATGGTTCAAAACTGGGACTGGTGCACGCCCAAGATGTGCCCTATCTCCATACCTTCTCAATCTATATGCAGAACACATCATCCACGGTCTGAGCCCTGTGAGGAGGAATGCCGCATCAGGATTGGAGAAAGATCCAGCAACAACCTGTGTTATGAATATGACACAATCTTGATTGCTGAAAGTGAAGAGGGCCTTAGGCATTTGCTGCAGAAGGTCAAGGACTGCAGCCTTCAATATGGATTCAAGTTCAATATCAAGAAAACAGATTCACACACCATTGGGCCTATTGGCAGCATTGTAATAAATGGTGAAGAAATTGAGATTGTCAACAGCTTCAGTTTGCTTGGCTCCCCAATCAATGCTTTTTGTACCAGAAGCCAGGAAATCAAAAAGCGAATGGCATTGAGAAGGTCCAGAAGCCAGGAAATCAAAAGGCAAATGACAATGGAAAGGTCTCCAGGGACCTCTCTAGAATGCTGAAGAACAATCATGTCAGTTTGGGACTAAGATGAGCCTGATCCGAGCCGTGGTCTTCGCAATTACTTGCTATGCATAAGAAATCTGGACAATGATGAGCAGTGGTAGAAGGAGAATTGATGCCTTTGAGCTGTGGTGCTGGAGAAGAGTACTGAATATACCATGGATTTTAGAAAAAGAAACAGGTTCATTTTGGAGAGGGTGAAAACGTGCTGCTCCTTGAAGCCAAGTATTCTGAAGCTCTATTTGACATACATTGGGCATGTTGCAAGGAAGGGCCAATCCTTGGAGAGGAAAATCATATCTGGAAGGGTGGAGGGACAGCACAAGAGAAGATGCCCATGGATGAGATGAATTGAGTCAGTGACTGGGGTGATGGGAGTAGTTGTATCAGAGACAATAATGTTGGCTCAGAACAGAGCAGGGTTCAGAGCTGTTGTACATAGGGTCTCTATGAGTCACTGAGTTACAAGTGACTAAATGGTATATAATGGCAACAAAACTTGAGTTAGCATTTGCAATAATAATTTTGTAACTATAAAAATAAAAATAGGCTTCAAATTTCAAATATGAAAACATAGCAACTTTATTGTTGATATCAAAATGTGCTCATCTAAAGGGATCACACAGATAAACAAATCAAAACTTTGCCTATTTACACAACACATAGTAATTATATGCATATTTCTATATCTAATTGTATACAAGAATGCAGTAGAATATATAATATTTCAAGTTTCATCTCCCCAAACAAGTCAACATAAGGGTTCCTTGACCAGTACCAATTTGTTCAAGTTTCTTTTATATTATCTTCCAGCTAAAGTGAACCTGACCATTTATATTTCTTTTACATAGTTCCCACTTTATAAACAATCTGTGAAGAGTGGAAGTGTACATCTCATCTTTTTTTGTTGTGTAGTTCTCTATACCCAAGTGTTTTCTCAGTTAAGTCATAGCTTCTTTCTAACAACTCTGAGCAAGGCCTTCTTTACTTCCTTGTTCCTCAAAGTATAAATTAGTGGATTTAGTACAGGAGTGACCACGGTATACATGATGGCAACAATTCTTTCTTGGTCCATGGAACTTCCTGAGGCAGGACGAGTGTAGGTGAAGAGAACAGGAGCATAAAAAAGAGTAACTACCATGAAGTGAGAAGCACATGTGGACAGGGCTCTATGAAGCATACTGCAAGAATGGGTCTTGAAGAGAAGATAAGCAATAATATAGAAATAGGAAATAAGTGTGATAAAGAAGGGCCCCATAGCAATGGTCCCTGTGACAGTATTCAGCAGCCACTGGTTGAGCTCAGTGTTTCCGCAAGCCAATTCTAGCAATGGTTTAATATCACAGAAGAAGTGATGAATATGGTTGGAACCACAGAAGTTCAAGTTGGAGGTCATTATGGAGTGTAGCAGAGCGTGGAAAAACCCAATGGTCCATACTGTGCCAGCCATCTGGATACAGCGCTGATGGTTCATGATGACAGTATAATGAAGTGGTTTGCAGATAGCCACAAAGCGGTCAAGAGCCATCACACCCAACAACATGGCCTCTGTGCTACCCAGGAAATGAAAGAAATGAAGCTGACTTATGCATCCCACAAAAGAAATTGTTTTGTGTGTAGAAACAAAGTTCTCCAACATCTTTGGCAGTGTCACTGTGGAGTAACAGATATCTAACCATGATAGGTTTCCCAGAAAAAAATACATAGGTGAATGGAGTTTTGGATCAGAGATAACAATGATCAGAATCGCTCCATTCCCAGCCACATTGACAAAGTACATGATGAGGAAAATCACAAAGAGAAAAGGTTGCAGCTCTTGGATATCTGTCAGTCCCAGCAGGAAAAATTCAGTGACGGAAGTCTGATTCAACATAACTTAAAAGAAAACATAATATATGGAAAATTGTCTCCAATGAGAATTTTGTTGCCAACACAAAAATAGTTTGAAGTAGAATTGCTTATATAATCCCAACCTCAGAAGTTTTACAGAATGTGATTTATTAGTTAAATGTTAATTTTTCACAGTCAGTATGAATTTAGTATTTAGTATGAAGCTCCCCAATTCAAACAAGCTTGGAAGCAGAAGTGACATCCACTTCCACAGTAGCTTGCCTTGGGAAACGCTATGAACCTGGAAAAAGGACGAAAGTTATACAGGAGGTGTCCAGGACTTTCGTTCATAGGGTCACTATGAGTCGCCTGTCACTTGACAGCACTTAACAACAACAATAGTATGAATTATGACCTGGTTAATCTGCTGTGGATTTTTTTTTAATTAGATTTTTTTGTAAACAACTTTTTTTCTCTCAGTGATCATAGAAAATGCTGTCACCCTCTCCTTTTCTCTTTATTTGAACATCTACATTTTGATAAAACTTTTCTATCATCTTCTTACATCAGCTTTTATAGGGTGATTTTTCAGTCCCCTACCACCCTATATCTCCAATGTAGAATGCTATCCAAAAAAAATTTTAACATATGAAAAAATAAAGATGAAAATAATACCATCAGATATTCTTTACAGCTATCAAAAAGACTTCTAAAAGAGGCAGTAAATCACATGGGAAGAGATAGCCCATCTCTCTCTTATGGAGCAGGTGGTAGATACAAAGCTCTTATCTTTGCATTGGCAGAGCAAATCCTTACCACTACACTACCAGAGATCTTCTGTGAAAGACTAGTTGTTGCTTTTCTCATCTTAGGTTAATAAGGCAAAATCCCTTTCTGAGGCACATCTGTGGAGAGTTAGTTATTTACCACAGTCTTTTCTGGGGATGATAAAAGAAGCCACATTAATTAGATATTATTAACTAGAAGTTTATTTAAAATTTTGTTAGCATTACATCAGCTGCTCAATGGGAAAAAGATGGTCAATCTTCTCCTTTGTGATTTACAGTCTCTGAAAACCCAGTGAAATTTAGCTATAGGTGAGTTTTGACTACATGACAATGAGTTTGGCTTAGAGTTTATATCTGCTTAGATTGTTACTACATGTGTCTTCATATTTTCCCAGGAAAACACCCATATTACTTCCCATTCTTCTTTGTATGAGATCCTTTTCCTTTTCTAGATCTGGGTAAATAATGTCCTTTCTCCAACAGTTTAAAAATCCTTCTCTATTATGCTACCCAATATTGAACCTTCCTTTCCAGGAGTGTCTTCAACCTCCTTGACATTTCATTTTCTCTTGAGATTTGTTTCCTGTTTCAGTCATATTTTTATTTTGTTTGAAATAACATTACTGTTTAAGCTGCAAGGAGGTATTCCATTTCAAGTGAAATTCAGGGTTTTTTGCCTCTAGTCTAACACTGGTAGTCATGTTTCTTTCTATCACCCTGGAAATCTCTGCTGACTGTAACCTCTCTCCAAAGATCTTAGAAATCTTTAGCGCTTCTCACTAAGAAAAAACAACACTACTTTCTGTTTTTTTATTCCTTTCATCAAATAAAATTTGTTTTCAACTAAAAGAATACGTTAATTTGAAGTTCACTTGAAGATTAAAGCAAAGTGTTTTATTCAGCCAATATATTAAAACTGACTGCTTACTGAATAGCAGAAAGCTTTTGACTCTTTTTTTCTTCCATTATTTGTATCATATTTAGCATTATCTTTTTAGGAACATTGACAAAGTGAGTGCAATTTTATGAAACAGCTTCCTTGTTGCTACTTTCACTTCTGTATGTGGTGGATTAGCTCTTGTTTATTGGGAAACAAGATGTGAGTATGTGAGAACACTTTTAGGAATAAGATATATTGAAAGGAAAATTAGAAATTAAGAAAAATTAGAGGAGATAACAGATGATGGGAAGTTTTCTATAAAAGAGTAATCCTTCAAGGCTTGATGTACTATTAACAGAAAATAATGTGAGGTGTTTTGAGTGTACGAACTAGATAAGATTTCTAAGCAGTCTTTTGCATTTTAGGTAAATTATAATTGTCAGCAATTTTTAGTAATTGTCTAATCTCTACTATACCTCCATAAAGAATTGACATCAATGCACTATTTAATGCCGTTTTTAAATCTTCATATTTAGTGTTTAAGAAAATTTATTTTTAAAATACAAAAACATTTAAAATTATTTACAGATGACATGACAAGTTACATTTTTGAATCTCAGATAAACTATATAAAAATGCATTTAGAGTAAATTTTTTCTAGCCTTTAAAGACTATTAGAAAACAGATTCCTTTGCACTAAACTTTTTTCCCTGCAATATTGATTTCTAGAGATTTTTATTTGCTTTGGGTGATGTCAAAAGTACAGGCATGCTGAACTGTGAATTAAAATTATGATATAAAGGTGGAAACAAATTTCCTTTATAATCCACAACAGCAATGAAGAGTCACTCATAGCACAGAACATCACTTTGAACATTGATCTTTAATAAGTACTAGTAGAAAAGAGTTAACTTCCTAATCTGTCTTCTATTTTATTCTCTTACCTGATAGATTCTTCAGAATTGTAGGTAAGAAAGCATTTCAGATGTATACTCTCACTTAGAACAAGAAAAAAATTTGAAGTGACAATTCATGTTAGCATTACAGTATAAAAGCTTCATCTTCAAAATCCTTTTTCCCTTTCTGAAATTCTCTCTTTCATTTTATGAACTATAGATCTCTCTGCATAAGAATCCTGAGAGAGAGTGACCCTTGGGTACCGGGAAGAATCATTGTAATAATAAACAGACTCCTTTCTGATACCTGTAATATTAGGGGATAATCTTAAGGGAATTTCTGTCTTGTGTTTTTTTTTATTCATCCTACATTCTTGCCTTACTCAATTAGTTTCATAGTGTTGTATTCATGGAAAACAACACAAATCTTAGTTGCCAATATATTAAGTCAAACTTCCAAGTAAAAAGGTTTGGACTCATTTTCAGACCTTAGAGGTTCCTTGAAAAATACTCTTGAGCTTAAAGTGTAGTAAGATCATTTTACTTTCACTTTCTCAAAACTTTCAGGGTAAACAAAACAAAGATACATAGTAGTGCCTTTTGTTACCTCTAGATATGACTCCTTATTTTGGTTGTTGTTATTGTTATGTGCTGTCAAGTTGCCTGCCACCCAAAGTGACCCTATCTACAACAGCTCTGAAGCCTGCCCTGTCCTGAGCCAGTCTCACTGACTCTGACACACCCAGCCCCATTGCCCCAGTTTTAAATTTTTATTTTTCTTTCCTGCAATCTAAACACATAGTTACTTAAGAGGAGCTCTAATGGTGTAGCTCATGGAGAGCTGTGTTGCACATGCAAAAGCCACACCTCTTTCGTGGTTCAAATTCAAATTCACTCGTGGGTCAGTGGGGGAAAGGCAGCCAGCCTCCTTCTGTGTGGTTTTTAACATCAAGAACCCCAGAGAGGATCAGCTATAAACCGATTTTGATTTGATGGCAATGAATTGAAAATTGTTTATTACTCCATCTCTAAATCATAATCCTGATTTCAGAATAAACTTTGTTATCCTGATTTTTGAGATTTTAAAAAAAGCGATAGCATTCTTACAGGCTCTTTAAAAAATTGTTTTATTAATTTTAATGAACATTTACAGAGATTTTGGATTTCCATTCGTTCATTGCTATACTTTTCTCCCTGCCCAGCCCTCTCCTCCCGCCAGTTCTCTCCTCTCTTTGAAAAGTCAAAGAAAAATTCTTTCATTGGTATGAAATCCCCCCACACCTCCCCCACCACCCTGGGTACACTCCACTATGCAACCTTAATTCTGGGCTCTTGTGATAACCATAATACCCTATCATATAGCGCTTTTAAATTGTTCTCTCCCTCATCTGTTTCAATGCAGTATATGCAATTTATCCAGTTTTTCTCTCTTACCCCAATCCTGATGTCAGTCCCATTCTACAACAGTAGTACCATGTAGTATTTGTGCTTTTGTCACTGAGATATTTCACTCAGCATAATATCCTCCAGTGCCACCCATTTTGAATAATATTTCATGAGTTCCTTGTTTTTTAATGCAACGTAGTATTCCATTGTGTGAATATACCACAGCTTCTCTATCCGTTCGTTTGTTGATGGGCCCTTGGGTTGTCTCCAACTCCTTGCTATTGTGAACAAAGTCGTGATAAACATGGGTGTGTATACATCTGCTTGGGTGGCAATTATGGTCTCTTAGGGGCATATTCCCAGTAGTGGAATTGCTGCGTCAAATG